GTCACTGTTTTTTTTTTTTTGGGGGGGGGGGGGGGGGGGGGTTTGCAGGTCTGAATGACGGGAAAATATGTATATTTGCAAATTAAATTTGACCAAATTAAAGCTGACCAGACAAAAAATCAAATATTATGTGTTTATATTGTCTGCAATGAAATACAAGTCAAAGTAAATTTGGAAATCATATTTTCTTTTTTATTTGTGTTTTCCATACTGCAATTCTTACATTCCCAGCTTTTTCTGATTTTGGGGCTGTAAAAATAATACCAATATGTCAACCATCTAGTTTTATTGTGTTTATAGGCCACTTGTTCTCTTGAACAACCTAGTGAATTTACTTGCATATGTGTCTGCTATTCTTGGAGATTACATTGTTCATCTGTTTGTCCAACGTTTGCTAATTAATGATTAGTAATTTTGAGACCAAATATAAGTCATTCATGGTTATACACATTTTTCAGAATAAGCAGGTATATAAAACCTGATATTACACACACACACACACACATTTTATATATATATATATATATATATATATATATATATATATATATATATATATATATATATATATATATATATATATATATATATTATACACTTCTACATATTGCAGACTAATGTGAAATACTATTGTAAAAAAGTAGATTAAATAATTTTAAATGTAAGAAAAATACAATATTATTGATATTGATTATTAACATATTATTAATATTAGTATGCACCTAAAAGTGTCGCCCATCCAGTTAGTTTGGTCTAGAACCGTGAAAATGACTATTCTTCAAATTAGCAAACTATCTTTTCTTTTGCCAGACTTTCAAGACAAGGGATGATTATTTATGACATTTTATACACCATGACAATTCAAGTGATTCACATAAACAAAAATGTTAAAATAATCATAATCACACATTCTCATAAGGTAACCCATGTCTATTGCATTTTATTATGCCAAATATTGAGGGAGAGCGGCTTGAATGCGATGCTATCAAATATCCTTTGACAGCCATGCATGCTTGTTCTTCAAGGCCCGTGCGTCACAGTTGCATTTGAACACGCCCCTTCCGAATGACAAGGAAACATAACCGTTAAAGATGAATCTCATTTTTTTACCGTTATATCTGTGCGGGTGCTCATCATTTTGCATAGATATTTTCCATTGGTAAGCCATTCTACTATGATAAGTGTGAAATGAGCCACGGCGTAAACCGTTTGGGAGCCAGCCAAAATTTACAACTGAAAGCAGAAACCCAGCCCTCCTTCGATTACACACAGAGAGAGGGAGCACGCTAATAGTGACAGCGGCACATATACAACTGCTCTCTGTGATCGACCGTACGCTGCTTGATCAGATTTCGGTCGTGCACCTCAAAGGATATACCTCGGCCTGCTTTTGGCATGTTCGTTTTAACCGGACTTGTTGCCAGTGGCTCAACAACGTTGTGTTCAATCAGGCAATGCCTTCCTTTTCCTTTCGCGTTTTGCGGAGCAAACTACAAGAGCCCCACGCATATGCCAGCGATCCGTCGTTTTATTTGTGTATAACGTTACGTGTGTTGATGGTTAAAAATGCATAGGTTTTGATTGACAGGATTTTACAAGGACGAACAAACGCGTTCTCGGCTGGAAGAAGCAAACAGGAGCTGTATCTATTCTTTGGATTTCACGGCAATATCACGGTGTTTTTTGATGGAGCTGGAGAATATTGTTGCAAACACGGTACTACTGAAGGCAAGAGAGGGTGAGTACATAAAGCAAATGTGATCGCGTTCTGTTTGTTAAATTTTGCAGCCTTCAAAACAGTGAAACCTCTGTCCGTGCACCTCTTTTGATGATGTATTTTGAAACGGATGCCGAATTTATTCAGCTTGACCTGTAACATTGATTTGAACACCTCCACCAATTCTTTCATCAGTAACCGACGTCATTACGCCAGCGTCACAATGCTGTAGCCCGTGTGACAGTTGGTTCGTGTTACGGGTTCCCACATCCGTTTTGTGTCCTGAAAAGCGAGCTCTGATTTATACATTTTCAGTGAAGTAACTGGAGTGTGTAAGGAAATGCTAATTTGAGCACGCCTTCACGCACTCTAATGTAAACGTAGGGAGCTGCCGGTGGCAATGTGATTGACGTTTGGCTTCCACACTCGAGTTCCACCACAATTCGAGTTATTCTATTAAAGTGTCACTAATAATTTAAATATATACGTAGCTCGAATAATAAGGCCACAGGAGCAAAAGAAGGAGAGCAATATTATTATCATACGATAACTGTTACACTGAAATAGCATGAGTCCTTTATAGCAAAAATGTCATGGAGAAGAGGCCGCTGCTACCATGTTGTTGTTAAAAATGTTTAAAAACATGTATATCTATTTTATATATAACATCTGAATGCTTTAAACCCTACGTCGTATGGAATGTTTACACAGTAACAGGCTATCCTAGACCCCAAAGACAAATGCAAAATATAAACATTTGTTATATTATAGCAACTACACCATATGTGTCTTGAACTATGGTTCATGGTTGACTATGACCTATGATCTGTACTTGACATTATGCATTATATTGAATGACAGTGCAGAAACAATGAATTGTGCAGCCTTTCTTTGAAAAATAAGGCTTAAAACATGGCTTTCTTATTTTGCTGTATAAAAGCCCACTGTTTTGTTAAAATTATGAATACATTTTTAAAAAAAATTTAATTGTATGAGCAAAAATTTAGTAGGTTATTTAGGGTTTTTTATTGCCATACGAAATAAAAATGTGCATTGTCATATGGTGGTAATTCCTGAGACATAAAACACTTGATGGGATGTACGCTTTATTCATTTTCAAATGACACATTTTTGAGTCATTAACTCATCCTGATGTCAAGGCTTCAGTGCTTTTAAATGCCCTAAGCTTTGCCGGTATATGGAGATGCATTTTGAACAAGGTTGTTGTAAATATCAGCATTTATTCTAATTAAATTTCTAAAAGACTTTATGGCATAGCAGTTTGCTAGACATTTTTCTTTAAATACTGATGTTTTAATCAGCGGTCACTGCTCAGGTATTGTATTGTTCTAATTTACAGTTTTCTGATCATCAAGAAGAGGGTACGCAAAGGTATTAAAAGTACAGAAAAGCAAGTCGAGGTAGACATGGCTGATTTGAAGGGCCAAAAAAGTTTTTTCTTTCTTCAAATATTAGTTGTTTTCATTCTTAACAGTTGTTGTTGTGATCATATCAGGCACAACTATGACCATAGTGGAAGTAACTTCTGGTTTTTGCAGATCCAATACACATCTATTTGTACAACTTTTGGTTTGTATTGCGAATAATCATGATTTTAAAAAAATTTTAATAACAGAAAATAATCGTCAAAGTAAGACGATACAGTGCAAAATTGAAAAACAAATCAAATAAATCTTTTACGGAGACTAAACTTTTGTTTCTTGCATACTGAGCTATGCTTTAAAAGAGCTTGCCAACTTTTCTTTAAAAACAAACAAAAAAATAAGCTTTTTACATGCTTATCTTGTCATCGCTTATTGTTATCATCATCAGACATTAAATGTAAATCAATGTGTTTAGTATTTCAAAATACATTTTACCAGGTCCTGTACATGTTCGCAGGCAACTACATTTTCACATGTGACTAAAAATTATTCATCAAATATAAAATAGCAAAATGAATTAACTGATGTGGGTGTAAGTTTGACATTTGACACATTTGATGGTGGTGACAACCTCAATTTGTAGGAATTTAACCACTGAATTACTGCAATAAAACAATCACAACAAACAGTGATTATGTTTTTGTTACAAAAGCCTTTTTAAGATTCAGATTTAAGAAAATCTGACATTGTTGACATCTGATAATGTTGACATTTTGAACATTTGTTTCACAAAACATATGGAGTTCATGCAGTAGCCGTTTAGTGTTTCCATTGAAGCTAGATGTTGAATGCAACCTGCTTCAGGGAAAAAAAATGATTAAAAAAAACTATTCAAATAATTTTCTTGTGGTGTTGACACATCAGTGTTGTGACATGATATTATGCTATCAGTACGGAAAATATTTTAAAACTGTAATACAGTTTGACAATGATTTGCTATGCAATGATGGAATGGTAAGGGGTTTTCAGTTTAGAGTGACCTTTGAAATGTTGCTTTTGAAAAAACTGTTTTTGTAAAAAAAAAAAAAAAAAGTTTTTTTTTTACATTTGATAATTAAATAAAAAAAAAAATAAATCAATTGCATTCGAATGGCTTTGTGGATGCCTTGCTTTAGATCATGGGTCTGGAACTCAATTTCTGCAGGGCCGCAGCTCTGCACAGTTTTGCTCCAACCATAATCGAACACAGCTGATCCAACTAATCAAGTTGTTTAAAAGAGCCTCGAACACCTTGATTAGTTGCATCAGGTGTGTTTTATTAGGTTTGGAGCAAAACTGTGCAGAGCTGCAGCCCTCTAGGTATTGAGTTTGAGACCCTTGCTTTAAGGCTGACTCACACTGTAAGATTTTTTTATAATTCTGAACGATCGTAGCATGTCAGACTACACGAACATGGCTCCCATGTCACACTGTAAGAACTCAAATGTTATAAAGTCAGACTAAACGACAACGAAGACGTGCCAAACATGAAAGAAAACGCCCCTGGAGTTTGACGTCAACCACCCAGGACACTTTCACTATCCCATGATCTGAAATGATTCCTCACAGCAAATGTAAACAATCTGTAGTTTAAAAAGTTAAAACCAGAAAGTCAAAAAAAAGTTTTGACTTTTCCCGTGGGTCATTTAAATTGTCGCAAGGATTGCGTCATCAAATCTGGACCACCTATTGGTTCTTGGATTGACGCTCATCACAGCTGTTGTCACACTGCAGGAAAGTGTCTTAAAATCTTTTGACACTGCCAGAACTTCATTGGAGGAAAAATGTGATCGCAGCGGGTATTAAGCGGCTGTCTGTGAACATGTCGAACCAACGATTAAAGATCACAGATTTTAGCCCAGTATCTCAGATATCTTTTAGGATTTCCCAAATTTGTCTTGATGACAAAATCCTTGTTCAAATGTGTGAGCAGGGCTTTAGATGTACTGTACTGAGAAGATATTAAGTGGCAAGGATTTCTTTTAAAGAACCCTTATTATGAGCGCATTGATGTTAATACGAAACATCGCCAAATATGCAGTGCCTGATTTGGTAAAATTAGAATGTGCCTTTCCCTTCTAACACAATCGGAGTGTAGGGAATCATCGGATGGATCATGACAAGAAGATGACGATCAATGACAAATTGCCAGAGATGCGGCTGTGGGAAATAAACGGTTAAAGTTAATTTTCACAACAATATCACTGTATAGAGAAATTTCCATGTTTGTAAACATTTAGGATGCTCGCGTAGCAAGGTTGCGGAAAAAAAAACAAAAACGGGAGCGCTAGCATTAACAGCAAGGGAATGACATCCAATGCGGTACAGAGTTTGTTGTTGTCTTTTGCCGAGTTCAGACTACATGATTTTAGCCCTGATTTTGACTCGGCAACAAATGAGAAATTGCCGACAAATGCCTGAATACGCATCAAATCAGTGCTCGTGCAGGTGAGTGACAATCGAAAAGTATGAACTATCAAAGACACGATCTGAGAGAATCGCCAATGAGTCGCCGATGCCTGTGAGATATTTGGTGTGCTAAATATCTGGAGCTGTTGGCGATTCAAATTATGTCATGTGAAATGACTTTTGACTGAAAATAACATTGGCGATTGCCTACAGCCAATGAGAGAGCAGCATCCACTTGTGTGTCTGTGTGTGTGTCTGTGTGACTGTGTCTGTCTGCAGGCAAGCGGGAGGTTGAGGGAGAAATCCTTGCTGAAATCTCAGGGCTGAGCAGGGCTTTAGATGTACTGTACTGAGAAGACATTAAGTGCCATGGATTTCTTTTAAAGAACCCTTATTATGAGTTTTTGCAAATGACCTACCATGCAGTGTGTAACAGCCCTTAGTGAATGGAAACATCCAGCTGAGGTTTAAATCTGAAAGTGCACCGTGTTTGAAACTATTGATTCTATTGAGTCGACTCGGAGTCAAATGAATGATTCGTCCTTTGTTCGGATCTTTTGCCTACGTGCATTGATGTTGATGATATGAAACATCGTCAAATATGCAGTGCCGAATCTGATAAAATTAGAAAGCGCCTTTCCCTTCTAACACAATTAGAGTGTAGGGGGTCATGGGATTGATCATGACAAGAAGATGATGATCACTGACAAATTGCAAGAGATGCGGCTGTGGGAAATGAAGGGTTAAACATAATTTTCACACCAACAAAACCACTGTATAGCCAACTGTGTGTTGTTTGTTGCTGTAATTTTTTCTGATGATTGATACAAAAACCTATGCAATGCGTAATTAACCGGCCGTTCGTTCAAAGACTACTAATGTTCTCAGTAACGCTTACATAGTTTATATGGACTAGTTTCTTCTTCCTCCAGATCCTGCACGTTTCTCCCCACTTACATGTTGTGTAGGAAGATTTTAATGGTTGCCTCGTTTTCTGTAGTCTGCAAAATATGGATTTAATTGTGTGTTGTAGCTTGTAATCTCTCAATGTGGCTTGTCTTCACTTATCCATTATAAAACTCCATGTTGAAAACGCGACATCTGCTTCTTCCGTTACCAATTTAAATGTGTTTTGTTCTCGCAATCGCATCAGCTGTTCCTTACACGCACGGCACGGCCAATTTTCAG